CGCTGGGAGGAGGAGGAGGAGGAGGAAGAGGAGGAGGAGGCGGAGGAGGAGGGGGAGGAGGAGGAGGAGGGGAAGGAGAAGGAGGAGGAGGCGGAGGCGGAGGAGGAGGAGGAGGAGGAGGAGAAGGAGGGGCAGGAGGAGGAGGAGGAGGAGGAGGACCAGCGCATCTGACTGAGTTCTGTATGTCTTGCTTACTGTACTTCCCCGAACGCTTCCCGCGCTTCCTTGATGAGCATATCAACGGTGATGGGGGGCTGACACAAGGCCTGCTACGCATGCCTCCCTTGGGGTGGCGGCAGGCCTTGAAACAGTTCAGGGCTGCGACCTTATGATTGCTGGTGGGGTTCCCAAGGCATTCGCTCTTAAACGCCGCGGGCAAGGATTCGCTGTAAGCGCCACAAGCCCAGCAGGCCAAAACGCAGCTGTCATTGTCGAGACGGTCGAAAACATATATGTCATGCCCGTGCCTTTGCTCAGCAAGGGCCGACAGGCTCGCGCAGTGCCCAGGGCAGGTCTGGGCATCTCTTCTTACACGCGCGGCCTCTGAGCGTGCTCGGACTCGGCAGAGTTCGCACATCCAGAGGCCCTCATCTACTAGAACCCACTGATGGGCGCCCCCCTTTTCGCGGTCGCCCTCGCGAGGCTCGCCGCCATCGGCCCCAGGGACCTCAGGAGGGTCGGAGGTCGGAGGCTGAAGGGGCGCAAGCAGGGAGGCGCCGACCAGGGGGGCCCTTTCGGGCTTGAAACTTGGCCCTTCGCAACCCTTGCTGCCAAAATTTTGGGCGATCGCGGGCCAGGCGGGCAGGCCTTTAGCGAGGAACCGGAAAAAACCGAAGCAGGAAACCATGGCTCGCGTCAAAATCTTGGGTCTCCGCGGCCGAAGGCCCTCCGGCTTTACTGGCATCAGCTTTAGCAAGTCTATCGGCTGTATCATGTCCCACGGCCAGGCATTTCCCCCTGGATCCGTTAGGTAAGGTTTCTAACTCCGGATGGGCTCTTACTTTACATATCCTAGGAAAGGGTCCTCCCGCTGTACTTACCTTTTGCGAGCAGCTTCCACCCTGCATAAATATTCTTCCTATCGAAACCCGCCTGGCCATACTTGGTTATGGCCCCATAGGTGGTCCGAGTGAACGCAGGTGACACGGGGACACATATGGGCGACTGCTATAGCTAGGTGTTCGGCTGCTGGCGAGGTTGCCGGCAGCAGCTCTCCCGTCTGTCCCGAGAGGTGCGCCTTGCATTCGCCGCCCTCGTCTAGCACGGCGACAGCCCATCCAGTCTGGTGCCAGACCGGGGGTCCCTGTTTGAGACAACTTCCGTCAACAAAAACTCCCCCAGCCATCGCGACCTCGAGCGGATCGCCGTTTCGGGGCCAGAACTCCCAGGCAAATCCGAATCCCTCGGGGCGGTTAATGCAAACTGGGGGCAAAAAGTGGAAACCGTGGGCGAGGGGGGCTGCTCTGGGGCACCCTTCCACATACGATTCATAGGGGGGTGGGGGGGGCAGAATCTCACTCCTCAGGTTGAAGACCAAGGGGCATTCGAACCTATGCGTCATGGCGTCTCTCTCGCACCCGCAAGGGCACGTCGTGTCGATGTCATATCCTGCTGCAGCAAGTCTAGTTCGGGTCCACAAACATTGGGCGAGGTAGGACATCAAGCTGCTCTTTTCGGAGTTGGAGAGGGAGGGATCGGCGAGTACCTGTCTGGCGGAAGACGCGTCCAACCTTTCCTGCGGTCGACCCCTCTTCGCTGCCGCCTTCCCCTCGAGGTTCGCCTTCCGGGCCTCCTCGGGATGACACTTCAGAAGCGCTGGCGGCGCACACGTGAGCTGGGGGACCAGGCCCTCGGAGGTCTCGATCTCAAAAGGGGTCCTCAAGGTCCAGTTGATCCTTTGGAGGCTCAATAGGGTGGCTCCTGTGGGTCCTCGGCAGGTAGTCCAATTCTTGGGGGACCTCTTCATGATGTTCGTGACTTTGTCGCGGAACTCGCTGTGCGTCACCCCCGAAAACTTTGGTTGCGCAGAAAGCCTCCAAACCATTAATCCAAAATAAATCACGGGGCCCAACGCGGCCTTCCACGTCGGATCTCCCTAGAGGCACAGACAGATGGAGCGGGATCTCGCGTGGCTTCGGGGCCCAACAATGTTGAGATAGATGGTTTGGCCCTCACGGGCCTCCTTGGTTAACCCCACCACCTCCGTTCCATAATGGTTGGCTTGGTCCAAGCCTGTTCGGAACAGCTTGCGCATGTCCGCTCCCGCCTGCCTTAGCGCCATCAGCTTGCGCTTGCGGGATCTCAACTTGGCGAAACGTGCGCTGAGTGTGGCTCTTCCTCGGCGAGAGCGAGTCCGTCCTCCCGCCGTGTAATCGATGCCTAGGTTGGCTGCCGAGTCTGTCCGCTCTTCCGTCTGGGGTCCCGCTAGTGGTCCCAGGGCACGAACAAGGGGTTTCCTGACCGACTGCGACGACGCGAGCATGGCCGATTTGTGTTTTGTGATTTTGCATCCCAGGTCGATTCCGATCGTCTCTTTCATGCTGGAGGCGGCGGAGGAAGAGGTTCGCAACTAGGTTCTTGGGGATCTTATCTTGGCTCTGGAGGAAGAGGTCATCTATGAGCATGTGGATGTCAATATTCGGATTGTCTTGGACCCAGAGCCGAGCGGGACAAGGCAGAACACCTGGGCGATAAACGCAGCGAAACTGCAGCCCGCTGGAATTCCGGACTGCGGGCTGCCCACAAACGTCGCGAGACCTTGGCTCGCTACAAGTCTAAGTCCTCCATGCTAATTTTAAATCAGGGTGGCAATGGCCTGGTTGAAATACAGCTCGGGTAAACCACTTATCACGATCGATATGTTCGATATAGTTCGAAAGGTCCCAGAAGGCGGCTGCCGCGAATCCGGCGGTTCCTTCGTAGTGGGCAGACTCGGCCTGAAAACTTGAAGGTGCACGGTGTCCAGGATTCCTCGGCCCGACTGGTGGGCCAGGTAGGGGCGTCGGTTCTTCGTTTCCCATTTTCTGGCGATGGGTTGTCGTATTCGGGCCCAGGTCCTCCAGATTGCTGTCATCAAACCAATGCCACGATAACTAGAATTCTCTGTCGCCTCCTGCTGTTTATGCTTGGGAATCAGGGTCGTGACGGTAGCTCTTGCCTGCAACGGGAAGATCCCCACCGCCTCGACAGCGTTGAGGAAGCGGGCGACGAGCTCACGCTCTGTCAGCGGCAGCAGGGAGAAATGCTCAGGGTGAAAGCAATCGCAGGTGGACTCCGTGCAACGACTGAAAGTCCTGGAAGCCTAGAAAACATCTTCGGCGGCAATTCGGGGAAGCCCCCTCGGAGCCTCGGGGTCGGGGCGCTTCTGTCGGCATCTGTTTTCTTGGGGTTCGGTCGTCCAGATACTGGCTAATCTATCGGCCCCGGCGTGCAGCAGCTCGGACGGCCGCCCTGCCCATCTACCTTCACCTTGTTTCCTAATTCTCTGAGGTCTCCACGTCGAAAGGTCCGTCGTCAATGTGTGGCCCCATCCGACCCCTCTTTTCATGCAGGCCTTGACCCAGTCCTCCCGCTTGTTGGCCTCATATGCTTTGTCCCGTTGGATCTCTCGGCCCAGGGCTTTGTCGGCGTCGTCGAAAAACGCGTCGAAGATTTCGCGAGCCACGGCCAAATTCAGGTTGCCGTCCTGAGCATCCAGCAGCACCGTCTGGCCCGCGACCTCAATAGCTCCCAGGAGGGTCCCCAGGTAGAAAGCGTTCGGGTGGGACTGGAGATCCTCAGAGACATTCTGAAAATCGAGGTTCTGGAAATCGTGCCTATCCAAGGCTCGGCGCATGTCCGTCAGCTTGTTCTTGAGCCAAAGGAGAAGCCCCGTAAACGATCTCCAACAACATCTATGATACCCTTCGGCTTCCAGCGCTGGCACCAATTTGACGTGGGCCTCTTGGCCCCGAACTCTTTTGCTTTTCAAGGGGGAAGGGGGGTGGTGGGACATCCGTCATCTTGCTTATGTGGTCCACTAGGTCCGTCGTGAGCGTCTGGTGGGTTTCGTTCAGGGCGCCTTCGAGCTCTCTGAAGTCCAGCTTCTGGGCCAGGATTCCTTCCATCTGGCCCAGGGCGGCGCCTGATTTAATCCATTCAGTAGTGTGATGCAGAGGTCCCACGGGCGTCTTGGTCGGGGGCTTCTGGGGCATGACCAGCGCAGGAACAACAAAAAAACAAAAAAAATAAAAAAAAAAAAAAAAAAAAAAAAAAAAAAAAAAAAAAAAAAAAAAAAAAAAAAAAAAAAAAAAAAAAAAAAAAAAAAACGACCCCGCGGCCAGATCGAAGTACACGGGCCTGCGGGGGCTGATGGGGGTACTGCTTGAGGACCACGGGCTCTCGCACGTAGTCTTTGAAACACTTGGAGACAAGGAAATAGTATATGAGGGTCTTAGTCTTCTTGGTGTAGAGGGTCGGCTCCGAAGGAGCCAATGCACTTGTTCCTGTTCTTGAACAGTAGTCGGAGCGGAGGAGCTTGGAAGAGGGAGATTGACATCGCCTGCTAGCACCAACGGCAGTCGGTGTTCCTGCGCCAGCTGCGCGGCCCGTGCCCGCAGGTCAAGGTTGGTCTCGTTCAGGCCTAACTTGTCTTCTAAATAAACGGAGCATTGGAGAAACTGAGCGTGCCCTGGCACCTCTAGAGCCACAGCGGCGACTCTCCCTGACGGCGTGACGGCCTCGAACTTGATCTTGACAACCCCGAGATCTAACCCCTGACGCATTAGGATGGCGGTTCCTTGAATGACTGCCCCGCATTCAGAACGGACCCCTTCCGAGATTACGGCATGCCAACCCCGTTTCGCACACCGCTGGATAGGATCCAAAACTTCGGCCCCTTGCAGCCTGGTTTCTTGGCAACATACGATCTGACATTGCCGGGCCTCCGAACCGGACATGACAAAAGTCTCGACGCTGCCCCAGCAACTTCCGCTGATTGAAACGATTCGAATGTTCCCCACCTGGCCAGTTGGCCTCAACCGCTGCGCTGGCGGACTGCCCCGCCTTCTCCCGGGGTGCGCGCTGGCGGGGGCGGCAGGTCGCGTCGGCGGTCGCTGGCCCCACCGCTCCGTCAGCCTGGAGCTGGGTGGCCGCCTCGAGCGCCTGGGAGACCCTCTTGGCGCCTGCCGCCAAGCCGAGGGGCTCCTTGGTGTCCATGAGCTCCACGTCGTCGGAGTCGTGCCCCGTGGGCTTGTCGGTGGCCTGCGGCTCGATCTTGAGCGGCGGCGCGGCTGCCTGCGACGTGGCCGTCGCGCTGGCGCTGGTGGCGGCGGCGTCTGGTGGTTCGGCTGTCTGGCTCGCAGCGGCTGCTGCGACCCTGTTGTACTCGCTGTTGAACTCCGCGGCCATGGCGTCGATCTGCTGCTGGAACTCGGCTGAGTAGGCCATGCCGCCAAACTTCTGCTGGACGAAGCCCGCGAGGGTGCCTGCTGCCTCTGGGTTGGCGTGCTTCGCCACTGCCGCCGTTGCCGCCACCTTGAGCTGGGTCTCCAGCTGCTGGATCTCATTTTGGATTTCCCTGCGCTCCTTGGAAATATCGCCGTACTTGGCTGTGAAGGACTCCACCTTCTCGATGTACCATTATGCATCTCGTTGCTTTCCCGCGAGACGCTCTCTCTGGGCCGCGAGCTGGGCGTTGAGGCTCTGGGTCTGCTGGTCTGGCGACTTGGAGGCCAGCGCCGCGGCCTTTGCCGCCTTGAGCTCCTCCTGCGCCTGCTTGTAGTGGGGCCCCGCGACGCCCTCGATGCTCTTCCAGAAGGCGGCCGCTTTGATGCATACGGTGACGGGGTCCAGCTCGCTTGCGCCCGTGGCGGGCGCGTCCTCCACGTCCTCCTCGAACGTGACTGTGCTGCGAGACCATCGGTTGGCTCTGCTTTTCGAGGTGGAGCGCGACGGGGTATGGCTGCTTGGTGCTGCCGAGGGAGCTGCAAAACTGGCACCACACTTCCCACACTGGCGGTGCTGGAGATCTGTCTACGACCATCCCCCACATGACGGCGTACGGCAGATCTGGTAGCTGTCCGGCGTTCTTGACTGGCTCCTCGGCGTGCGTAGATCGCGCCCCTCGCGATCTCCGCGGCGGGCGCCTGCGGCCGGCGCGTCGCGCCCCATGCCGTCAGCGCCGCGAGGAGGCAAGCAGCGAGGAGGCGGCGGCTATGACTTGGGCCCCTGTGGGCCTCTCGCAAAGGGCCGTGGCGCGCAGGCTGGTCGAGGCCGCCAGGCCTGGGGAAGGGGCCGCCCTTCCGCCACGACCTCGGGCCTCGGGAGTCGGGACGGGGAGGAGTTCCCGTCTTGAGCCAAAATGGCTACGGGGAAGGAGGAGGAGGAGGAGGAGGAGGAGGAGGAGGGAACCGCCGCCGAGGAAACGAGAAACGGAGACCCCCATCGACCCTCGACGGGCGAGGGGCGCCCTCTCTGGGCCGCCCCGCGCCCGTCGCCCCTCGTAGGAGACGCAACGCCCGACGGGCCTGCGCCTAAGTCGGGCCTGCCCTCCTACAGGGGGATTTCGGACGAAAACTAAAGAATATTCCAACACAAATACTTCCAAATGGCAAAACAATGCAAGAACAAGTCGACCCCCGACTATTTCCCCACATGCTGGGTGGGGTTATGATTTTCTTCTCTGCCGCGCCCGCGCCCGCGACTCACGCGCCCGCGCCTCACACCTCCTCTTCCTCCTCCTCCTCCTCCTCCTCCTCCTCCTCCTCCTCCTCCTCCTCCTCCTCCTCCTCCCCCTCCTCACCCACAGCACAGCACAGCACAGCTCATTCAAGCACACAGATACACACATACATACAGACAAACACAAACGCACACACACACACACACACACAGAGCATACAGCACAGCACAGCACAGCATAGCACAGCATACACATACACACATCCACACATACACACATACACACAAACACACAAGCACACACAGCACACACAGCACACACAGCACACACAGCATAGCACAACACAGCACAGCACAGCAAAGCACAGCACAGCACTGCTCAGCACAGCTCAGCTCAGCTCAGCTCAGCTCAACACAGTACAGCACAGCACAGCACAGCACACCGCAGCACAGACAACGCAGACAGATCGTGGCAGGAGTGGCACTTTCTCGACACCACACAGGGTGCGCAGAATGTGGTCCCTCAGCGCGGCCTTTATGCGTGACACGCTCGCAGATCGTGGCAGGAGTGGCACTTTCTTGACACCACACGGGGTGCGCAGAGGGTGGTCCCTCAAGGCGGCTTCTATCCGTGACACGCTCGCAGATCGTGGCAGGAGTGGCACTTTCTCGGCACCACAGGGGGTGCGCAGAGGGTGGTCCCTCAGCGCGGCCTCTAACCGTGACGCGCTCGCAGATCGTGGCAGGAGTGGCACTTTCTCGACAACACAAGGGGTGCGCAGAGGGTGGCCCTTCAGCGCGACTTCTATCCGTGACGCGCTCGCAGATCGTGGCAGGAATGGCACTTTCTCGACACCACAGGGGGTGCGCAGAGGGTGGTCCCTCAGCGCGGCCTCTATCCGTGACGCGCTCGCAGATCGTGGCAGGAGTGGCACTTTCTCGACACCACAAGGGGGGCGCAAACGGTGGTCCCTCAGCGCGGGCTCTATCCGTGACGCGCTCACTATCGTGGCAGATCGTGGCAGGAGTGGCACTTTCTCGACACCACAGGGGGTTCGCAGAGGGTGGTCCCTCAGCGCGGCCTCTATCCGCGACGCGCTCGCAGATCGTGGCAGGAGCGGCACTTTCTCGACACCACAAGGGGTGCGCAGACGGTGGTCCTTCAGCGCGGCCTCTATCCGTGACGCGCTCGCAGATCGTGGCAGGAGTGGCACTTTCTCGACACGACAGGAGGTGCGCAGAGGGTGGTCCCTCAGCGCGGGCTCTATCCGTGACACGCTCGCAGATCGTGGCAGGAGTGGCACTTTCTCGACACCACAAGGAGGTGCGCAGAGGGTGGTCCCTCAGCGCGGCCTCTATCCGTGACACGCTCGCAGATCGTGGCAGGAGCGGCACTTTCTCGACACCAGCGGGGTGGCTCAGACGGTTGGGGGCCCTCAGCGCCGGCCTCGGGAGTGGATCCTTGACAGTTCGCTCGCAGGTCGTGTGTGTCAGGAGTGGAGCAACTTTCTCGACACCAACAGGGGGGGCGCATGACTGGGTCCTGTCAGCGCGGCCTCTATCCGTGACACGCTCGCAGATCGTGGCAGGCGTGGCACTTTCTCGACACCCCAAGGGGTGCGCAGAGGTGGTCCCTCAGCGCTGCCTCTATCCGTGACACGCTCGCAGATCGTGGCAGGAGTTGCATTTTCTCGAAGCCGCAGGGGGTGCGCAGAGGGTGGTCCCTCAGCGCGGCCTCTATCCGTGACACGCTCGCAGATCGTGGCAGGAGTGGCACTTTCTCGACACCACAGGGGGTGCGCAGAGGGTGGTCCCTCAGCGCGGCCGCTATGCACGACGGTCGTCCAGGGCATAGCAGGCGTGGCACTTTCTCGACGTCATACGGGGTGCGCAGGGGGTGGTCCCTCACCGCGGCCGCTATGCACGACGGTCGTCCAGGGCATAGCAGGCGCGGCATTGTCTCTACACCATAGAGGCTGCGCAGGGGGTGGTCCCTCACCGCGGCTGCTACGCACGACGGTCGCCCAGGGCATAGCAGGCGTGGCAATTTCTCGACACCATAGAGGGTGCGCAGGGGGTGGCCCCTCACCGCGGCCGCTGGCTGGCTCGAATCTGTCCTCGATGGAGGATAGAAGGCTAGGAAGAGGGAGGAGGTTCAAGCAATATGGCGTTGGATGACACATAGGGGAACATTCGCGACGAGGGCTGAGAACGCAGAATTGCGCATATATTATAAACTTAAGCAAACACATAAGATTTAAATTAAGTATGTGGGGTTCCTCGGTAGCGTAATTTGTGTGGCCCCGGTGCTCAACCAAAGTGGCCCTCGAAGGCCGAAGCGTGGTGCGCGCGCGGGTTTTGCGGGAGCGCGGTAGGAGGAGGGGGGGCAATGAGGGACGGGGGAGGCGGAGGAGGGAGGAATGAGGAGAAAAGCGATGGGGATGATGGGGATGCGGGGAGGATGTCGAGGAGGTAAGGGGGATGGATGAAAGGGGGATGGGGGGGCGGGGCCAGGGGGGGGGGAGGAGGAGGGGGAGGGGAGGGGTTTGGGGGACGGGAGGAGGTTGTCGGGTCTAAAGGGAGTGTGAGGGGGATAGGAGGGGTGGATAGGGGGCGCTGGGTGGGGGGGGGGGGGGGGAGGGGGGGTGGTCGAGGGGGGGGGTGAGCGGGGGAGGTCGAGGGGGGAAGGGGGGAGGGAGGAGGTTCAGGAGGGGGGATGCGAAGGGGGATCTGGACAAACAAGGGGGGGAAACGGGGGGGGGAGGGGGGGGGGATCGGGGGCGGGGGCGGGGGGGGAGAGGGGGGGTGGGAGGGGGGAGGGGGCGGGAAGGGGAAAGGGGGAGGGGGGAAGGAGGAAAAATCAAGGAGAAAGGGGGAAACATGGGGTAGTCGTGGGGGAGGCCTGCTGTTTTCCGGGGTGGGTGCAAGCCGGTGGCCGGGTCGGTACAAAGGGGGGAAGAGGAGTGTGGGCAAGGGGAACGAGAAAAGGAGAGATGGGGAAGGGAGGGGGAGGTGTCGGGGAGGAGAATTCGAGAGCGGATTATAGTGAGGATATCGGTTTGCGCCTTGCCAAGAACGGCGGGCTGGCTACCAGCCGCGGAAAACCTCTACTCTGCTGTCGCTGTCGATTTCATCGACTCCTGGATGGGAAATGCTGTTACCAGGTGTGATGGCTTTTCTCATGTACCCTCATACTCTTGCTATTTATGGCGTATATGTGTATGTATGTATGCAGATCTCCCTCGTTCAATTCCAACTTCAGGCGGCTTCGCCAATTTTGCGCTATGAGCGAGTTGGAGGAGGAGGATGAGGAGGAGGAGGAGGAAGAGGATTATGTGAGGGTTACGTTGCAAGACAAGCAGGGGGAGTAGCAAGGCTGGCTGATGAATGCCAGAGACTACGCGGCTAACCTATGCATTTTTTTACAGCTGAGTCGAGAGCACCGCGGCAGAGGAGGGGTGAGGGGATGGAACGTCGGCAACGAATTGCTACCCTGGCGGCCAGGGCCGCTCGGCCAGGCGCGCCGCGAGCGCCGCGCGCCGCGCGCCACGCAACGACACGTGCGACCTTCATTCTCAAACACTATACAGCCAAGTCGCATGATAATTGCTACCTTGTTACTGCACTTCAAATTTGTTTGTCGTAGTATCAGCTTTCTACGAGCAGAACGCTCATCACGTTGAGCGGGCTCAATACTTTCTCCTCTTCGTTACTGCTGCTATGCGATGTGTTGCCACCCCTGAGCAGCTGCACGCCCTGCGGAGCCTTCTTGACTCCTGGGCTTTATGCCGTGCTCGCCTTTGGCACGGGAAGGCTCGCTGCTGCCATGCTCTGCTCCGTGTGAGTCTTGACGTGCACGTGTCCGGGCATAGCTCCGACGCGGTGGCACTCCACCCAGAGGTCTCCCGGATGCGCTTGTGAGCAGTTTCGGCCGTGCCGTCGACGCCAGGAGTGGTGCGAGGAGGAGGAGGAAGAGGAGGAGCCGGAGTCGGAGTCGGAGTCGGAGTCGGAGTCGGAGTCGGAGTCGGAGGAGGAGGAGGAGGAGGAGGAGGAGGAGGAGGAGGAGGAGGAGGAGGAGGAGGAGCGGGACCCGCGTAAACCCAAGCTGTATCAGCGTTGCTGCCGCCCCGAGCCGCCTCATCAGTCCCTGACGACGGATTGCAATCCTTCGGGTTTTTTCGCAATCCTGACGACGGGTTTTTTTTTGCAATCCTTCGGTTTTTTTTGCAATCCGACGACCTCCGTTTTTCACTGCAGTGCGGTGCCCCTCCCTCGAGAGGCCGGCACACCG